GGCACGGGAACATCACGGGAATGGCACGGGAACAGCACGGGAATGTCATGGGAACGGCACGGGAACGGCACGGGAACGGCACGGGAACATCACGGGAATGGCACGGGGATGGCATGGGGATGGCATGGGGATGGCATGGGGAAATCATGGGAATGGCATGGGAATGGCATGGGAACGGCATGGGAACGGCACGGGAATGGCATGGGGATGTCACAGGAACGGCACGGGAACAGCACGGGGACGGCATGGGAATGGCATGGGAATGGCATGGGGAAATCATGGGAATGGCATGGGAATGGCATGGGAATGGCATGGGAATGGCACGGGAATGGCATGGGAATGTCATGGGGATGGCATGGGAATGGCACGGGAATGGCATGGGAAAGGCATGGGAATGGCATGGGAATGGCATGGGAACAGCATGGGGACAGCACGGGGACGGCACGGGAACGGCACGGGAACATCACGGGAATGGCACGGGAATGGCATGGGAATGGCATGGGGACGGCACGGGGACGGCACGGGAATGGCATGGGAATGGCATGGAAATGGCATAGGAATGGCTTGGGGAAATCGTGGGAATGGCATGGGAATGGCATGGGGACGGCACGGGGACGGCACGGGAACAGCACGGGGACGGCATGGGAATGGCATGGGAATGGCATGGGGAAATCATGGGAATGGCATGGGAATGGCATGGGAATGGCATGGGGAAATCATGGGAATGGCATGGGAATGGCATGGGGAAATCATGGGAATGGCATGGGGATGGCATGGGGAAATCATGGGAACGGCACGGGAACGGCATGGGAATGGCATGGGAATGGCATGGGGAAATCGTGGGAATGGCATGGGAATGGCACGGGGAAATCGTCAGGAAATTACAGGAGAATATTGGGGAAATCACAGGGAAATCATGGGGAAATCATAGGGGAATCTTGGGGAAATCATGGGAATGTAATGGGAAATCATGGGGAAATTACAGGGAAATTATGGGGAAATTACGAGGAAATCATGGGAAAGTCAAGGGGAAATTATGGGGAAATTATGGGGAAAGTCATGGGAATGTCATGGGGAAATTTCAGGGAAATCATGGGAAAGTCATGGTGAAATTATGGGGAAATTATGGGGAAATCACAGGGGAATCTTGGGGAAATCATGGGAATGTCATAGGAAATTACAGGGAAATCGTGGGGAAATCATGGGGAAATTATGGGGAAATCATGGGGAAATCATGGAAAAATTACAGGGAAATTATCGAGAAATCATGGGAAAATCATGGGGAAACTACAGGGAAAGCATGGAAAAATTACGGGGAAATCATGGGGAAGTTACAGGGAAATCCCGGGGAAATTATGGAAAAGTAATGGGAAAATCACAGGAAAATCGTGAGAAAAACACCGAAAAATCACAGGGGAATCACAGGAAAATCAAGGAAAAATCCTGGGGAAATCATGGAAAAAATCATGGGAAAATCATGGGAAAATCACAGAAGAATCATGGGAAAATCCTGGGGAAATCACAGGAAAATCACGGGAAAACCAAGGAAAAATCCTGGGGAAATCACAGGAAAATCATGGGAAAATCCCTGAAAAATCCCAGAAAAATCCCGGAAAAATCCTGGGAAAACCCCCAGGAGAAACCTTGGGAAAATCCCAGAAAAAAACACCAAAAAAACCCAGGAAAAATCCCAGAAAAATCTGGGAAAACTCAGGAAAACCCTCAGGAAAAACCCAGAAAATCCCAGAAAAAAATCCAAAAAAAACCCTGGAAAAATCCCAGAAAAATCTGGAAAAATTCAGGAAAACCCCCAGGAGAAACCCAGAAAATCCCAGAAAAAAAAACCCAAACCAAAAACCCCCTGGAAAAATCCCAGAAAAATCTGGAAAAATTCAGGAAAACCCCCAGGAGAAACCCAGAAAATCCCAGAAAAAAAAACCCCAAAAAATCCCAGAAAAATCCCAGAAAAATCTGGGAAAATTCAGGAAAACCCCCAGGAGAAACCCAGAAAATCCCAGAAAAAAAAACAACAAAAACCCAAAAACCCCCTGGAAAAATCCCAGAAAAATCTGGAAAAATTCAGGAAAACCCCCAGGAGAAACCCAGAAAATCCCAGAAAAAAAAACAACAAAAACCCAAAAACCCCCTGGAAAAATCCCAGAAAAATCTGGAAAAATTCAGGAAAACCCCCAGGAGAAACCCAGAAAATCCCAGAAAAAAAAACAACAAAAACCCAAAAACCCCCTGGAAAAATCCCAGAAAAATCTGGAAAAATTCAGGAAAACCCCCAGGAGAAACCCAGAAAATCCCAGAAAAAAAAACAACAAAAACCCAAAAACCCCCTGGAAAAATCCCAGAAAAATCTGGAAAAATTCAGGAAAACCCCCAGGAGAAACCCAGAAAATCCCAGAAAAAAAAAACCCAAAAACCCCCTGGAAAAATCCCAGAAAAATCTGGAAAAATTCAGGAAAACCCCCAGGAGAAACCCAGAAAATCCCAGAAAAAAAAAACCCAAAAACCCCCTGGAAAAATCCCAGAAAAATCTGGAAAAATTCAGGAAAACCCCCAGGAGAAACCCAGAAAATCCCAGAAAAAAAAACCCAAACCAAAAACCCCCTGGAAAAATCCCAGAAAAATCTGGAAAAATTCAGGAAAACCCCCAGGAGAAACCCAGAAAATCCCAGAAAAAAAAACCCAAACCAAAAACCCCCTGGAAAAATCCCAGAAAAATCTGGAAAAATTCAGGAAAACCACAGAAAATCCCAGAAAAAAAACCCATGAAAAATAAAAAAAAAAAATCCAGGAAATTCTGGAGCATCCCAAACTTTTCAAGGAGCAGCCAAACAAAAAAAGAAAGGAAAAGAAAAGCAAAAAAATCCCCAAAAAAATCAAAAATCTGGGATGGGGCTGAGCCGGAATTCCTGAAAATTCCTAAAAAAATGGCTACAAATTCAGAAAAAATCCCCAAAATTCCTGGAAATTCCCCGGAATTCCCGGAATTCCAGGTGAGACTCACGTCCTCGTCCAGGCTGGTCTGCTCCAGGTCGAGCAGCTTGAACTGGAGCCGCTTGAAGATCTCCTCCATGGCCTCGCAGGCCCGGTAGTCCAGCTTCTCTCCTGGAAAAAAAATGGGAAAAAAGTGGGAAAATCCCGGGAAAATTCCCAGAAATTCCTGGGAAAATCCCTGGGAAAATCCCCAGAAAGTTCTGAGTGGGAATCCAGCTTCTCTCCTGGAAAAACATGGGAAAAACACGGGAAAAACATGGGAAAAAAGTGGGAAAATCCCGGGAAAATTCTGGGAATATTCCCTGACAAAATCCCGGGAAAATCCCTGGGAAAATTCCCAGAAATTCCTGGGAAAATTCCCAGAAACTCCTGGGAAATTCCCTGAGAAATTCCCTGAGAAATTCCCTGGGAAAGTCCTGGGAAAATTCCCAGAAATTCCTGGGAAATTCACTGGGAAAATCCTGGCAAAATTCCCAGAAATTCCTGGGGAATTCCCTGGGAAAATGCCCAGGAAGTTCTGAGTGGGAATCCAGCTTCTCTCATGGAAAAAACACGGGAAAATCCTGGGAAAAACATATCAAAACCCAGGAAAAAAGGGATAAAAATCTGGGAAAAAATGGGAAAAAAAGGATAAAAAAAGGGGCGGAAAAAGGAATGAAAAAGCTGGGAAAAAGGGATAAAAAAAGTGGAAAAAAGGGATAAAAAACTAGGGAAAAAAAGGATAAAAAGAAGAAATGCAGAAATTTTTGCCTTTTCTGGGATTTTTGCTACCACCCCCCTGGAGTTGGGATTTTGGGATCCCACCCAAAAATCCGGGAGGATTTTGGGGAAAAACTCTCAAAAAGGCTGGAATTGGATCCTGAAAATGATCCCAGGGAAATCAGGAATAATTAATGGGATGCAAGCAGGAATAATTAATGAGATTCGATCAGGAATAATTAATGAACCTCGTCTAGGGAGGAAACCTGAGCTGAGCTGAGGGGGCAGAGCCAGGAGGGGAAAATTCCCAAAATTCCTCTTGGGATCCAAAAAATCCTCTCAGGATCCCAAAATTCTTGCCAGGATCCCAAAAATTCCTGCTTGGATCTCAAAATTCCTGTCAGAATCCCAAAATTCCTGTTGGGATCCTAAAAATTCCTGTCACAATCCTAAAAATTCCTGCCTGGATCCTTAAAATTCCTGTTTGGATCCCAAAAATTCTTGTCAAGATCCCAAAAATTCCTGTCAGGATCCCAAAAATTCTCGTCAAGAACCCAAAAATTTCTCTCAGGATCCTAAAAAATCCTGTCAGGATCCCAAAAATTCCTGTCAGGATCCCAAAAATTCTCGTCAAGAACCCAAAAATTTCTCTCAGGATCCTAAAAAATCCTGTCAGGATCCCAAAAATTCCTGTCAGGATCCCAAAAATTCCTCTCAGGATCCTTAAAATTCTTTCTTGGATCCCAAAAAATCCTGTTTGGATCCCAAAATTCCTGTCAAGATCCCAAAAATTCCTGTTTGGCTCCTGAAATTCCTCTCAGAATCCCAAAATTCCTCTCAGGATCCCAAAAAATTCCTGTCAGGATCCTAAAAATTCCTGTTTGGATCCCAAAAAACTCTCATCAAGAACCCAAAATTTCCTGTCAGGATCCCAAAATTCCTGTTTGGATCCCAAAAAATCCTGTTTGGATCCCAAATTTCCTGTCAGGATCCCAAAAATTCCTCTCAGAATCCCAAAAATTCCTGTGAGAATCCCAAAATTCCTGTTTGGATCCTAAAAAATCCTGGGTTTGGGACATTTTTGGGGTGGTTTTGGGGCATTTTTAGGAGAATTTTTAGGAGAATTTTTAGGAGAATTTTTAGGAGAATTTTTAGGAGAATTTTTAGGAGAATTTTTAGGAGAATTTTTAGGAGAATTTTTAGGAGAATTTTTAGGAGAATTTTTAGGAGAATTTTTAGGAGAATTTTTAGGAGAATTTTTAGGAGAATTTTTAGGAGAATTTTTAGGAGAATTTTTAGGAGAATTTTTAGGAGAATTTTTAGGAGAATTTTTAGGAGAATTTTTAGGAGAATTTTTAGGAGAATTTTTAGGAGAATTTTTAGGAGAATTTTGGGGCATTTTCAGGCTGGTTTTGGGGTATTTTTATGGCATTTTTAGGGTGGTTTTGGGGCTTTTTTGTGGTATTTTTGGGATATTTTAAAGACATTTTTAAGACAATTTTGGGGCATTTTTGGGGTGGTTTTGGGGCATTTTCAGGCTGATTTCCACCAAGTTTTTGGCCTCTTTTGGGGCATTTTTGGGCTGATTTTGAGGCATTTTAGGGCTGCTTTTGGGGCCGTTTTCTGGATGTTTTCAGGCTGGTTTTGGGGTATTTGGGGGCATTTTTCAGGCAAATTTGGGGGCATTTTCCAGCTGATTTTTGGGGGGATTTGGGTGCTGTTTCCAGGCTGGGTTTTGGGGTATTTTTAGGGCATTTTCAGGATATTTCACACCAGTTTTGGGGGTATTTGGGGGCATTTTCAGGCTGGTTTTTGGGGTGATTTGTGGAATTTTAAAGCTGTTTTTAAGCAGGTTTTTGGGGTCATTTGGGGGGATTTTGGGGCAGTTTTCAGGCTGCTTTTGGGGTATTATTCAGACAGGTTTTGGAGTAGTTTTGGGGTATTATGGGAACTGTTTTCAGGCAGTTTTGGGGGTGTTTTGGGGGATTATTTGGACTGTTTTCACACCATTTTTTAGGGCGGGTTTGGGGTATTATTAGGACTGTTTTAGGCCATTTTTTGGGGTATTATCCAGGCTGATTTTGAGGTTGTTTAGGGTATTATTCAATCAATTTTTGGGGTATTATTCAGCCTAATTTTGGGGTATGATTTGACTGTTTTCAGGCCGTTTTTTGGGGTATTATTTGGATTATTTTCAGGCCGTTTTTGGGGTATTATTCAGCCTAATTGTGGGGTATGATTTGACTGTTTTCAGGCAGTTTTGGGGGTGTTTTTGGGATATTATCGGAATTATTTCCAGGCCATTTTTGGGGTATTATTCAGCCTAATTTTGGGGTATGATTTGACTGTTTTCAGGCCGTTTTTTGGGGTATTATTTGGATTATTTTCAGGCCGTTTTTGGGGTATTATTCAGCCTAATTTTGGGGTATGATTTGACTGTTTTCAGGCAGTTTTGGGGGTGTTTTTGGGATATTATCGGAATTATTTCCAGGCCATTTTTGGGGTATTATTCAGCCTAATTTTGGGGTATGATTTGACTGTTTTCAGGCCGTTTTTTGGGGTATTATTTGGATTATTTTCAGGCCGTTTTTGGGGTATTATTCAGCCTAATTGTGGGGTATGATTTGACTGTTTTCAGGCAGTTTTGGGGGTGTTTTTGGGATATTATCGGAATTATTTCCAGGCCATTTTTGGGGTATTATTCAGCCTAATTTTGGGGTATGATTTGACTGTTTTCAGGCCGTTTTTTGGGGTATTATTTGGATTATTTTCAGGCCGTTTTTGGGGTATTATTCAGCCTAATTGTGGGGTATGATTTGACTGTTTTCAGGCAGTTTTGGGGGTGTTTTTGGGATATTATCGGAATTATTTCCAGGCCATTTTTGGGGTATTATTCAGCCTAATTTTGGGGTATGATTTGACTGTTTTCAGGCCGTTTTTTGGGGTATTATTTGGATTATTTTCAGGCCGTTTTTGGGGTATTATTCAGCCTAATTGTGGGGTATGATTTGACTGTTTTCAGGCAGTTTTGGGGGTGTTTTTGGGATATTATCGGAATTATTTCCAGGCCATTTTTGGGGTATTATTCAGCCTAATTTTGGGGTATGATTTGACTGTTTTCAGGCCGTTTTTTGGGGTATTATTTGGATTATTTTCAGGCCGTTTTTGGGGTATTATTCAGCCTAATTGTGGGGTATGATTTGACTGTTTTCAGGCAGTTTTGGGGGTGTTTTTGGGATATTATCGGAATTATTTCCAGGCCATTTTTGGGGTATTATTCAGCCTAATTTTGGGGTATGATTTGACTGTTTTCAGGCCGTTTTTTGGGGTATTATTTGGATTATTTTCAGGCCGTTTTTGGGGTATTATTCAGCCTAATTGTGGGGTATGATTTGACTGTTTTCAGGCAGTTTTGGGGGTGTTTTTGGGATATTATCGGAATTATTTCCAGGCCATTTTTGGGGTATTATTCAGCCTAATTTTGGGGTATGATTTGACTGTTTTCAGGCCGTTTTTTGGGGTATTATTTGGATTATTTTCAGGCCGTTTTTGGGGTATTATTCAGCCTAATTGTGGGGTATGATTTGACTGTTTTCAGGCAGTTTTGGGGGTGTTTTTGGGATATTATCGGAATTATTTCCAGGCCATTTTTGGGGTATTATTCAGCCTAATTTTGGGGTATGATTTGACTGTTTTCAGGCCGTTTTTTGGGGTATTATTTGGATTATTTTCAGGCCGTTTTTGGGGTATTATTCAGCCTAATTGTGGGGTATGATTTGACTGTTTTCAGGCAGTTTTGGGGGTGTTTTTGGGATATTATCGGAATTATTTCCAGGCCATTTTTGGGGTATTATTCAGCCTAATTTTGGGGTATGATTTGACTGTTTTCAGGCCGTTTTTTGGGGTATTATTTGGATTATTTTCAGGCCGTTTTTGGGGTATTATTCAGCCTAATTGTGGGGTATGATTTGATCCCAAAAATTCCTGTCAGGATCCCAAAAATTCCTGTCAGGATCCCAAAAATTCCTGTCAGGATCCCAAAAATTCCTGTCAGGATCCCAAAAATTCCTCTCAGGATCCTTAAAATTCTTTCTTGGATCCCAAAAAATCCTGTTTGGATCCCAAAATTCCTGTCAAGATCCCAAAAATTCCTGTTTGGCTCCTGAAATTCCTCTCAGAATCCCAAAATTCCTCTCAGGATCCCAAAAAATTCCTGTCAGGATCCTAAAAATTCCTGTTTGGATCCCAAAAAACTCTCATCAAGAACCCAAAATTTCCTGTCAGGATCCCAAAATTCCTGTTTGGATCCCAAAAAATCCTGTTTGGATCCCAAATTTCCTGTCAGGATCCCAAAAATTCCTCTCAGAATCCCAAAAATTCCTGTGAGAATCCCAAAATTCCTGTTTGGATCC